GTAGTAGTGTGCCTTTAAAGTTTCACTTGGGGGGCTGGAAGGGAAGGTGGCTCAGTGGTAAAATGCTTGCCCTGCATGCATGAGGCCCTGGGTTCGATTCCTCAGCACCACATAAGCAAAAAGAAAAAAGCCAGAAGTGGCGCTGTGGCTCAAGTGGTAGAGCGCTAGCCTTGAGCTGAAGAGCTGAGGGACAGCACCCAGGCCCAGAGTTCAGGCCTCACAACCGGACCTCCCCCCCCAAAAAAGAAAGTTTCACTTAGGCTGGGCCTCTTCCTGTTTCCTGTCTACCATGAGGTGGGTAGACTCTGCCACATGCTTCCACTACTGCCATTTTATGCCTCATCACAGGGCCAGAATCAATGCAGGCAAGGTCTATGGATTTAGATTTCTGAAACTGTGAGCTAAAATAAATCTTTCCCCTCTTCATTTGTTTATATCAAATATTCATCACAGCTAACAAAGCTCCCATACTTAAGGTTGGAAATTTCCTTGTATAGGCGTGGGCTGCTGATGCTGAGGGTGGAGATAGAGTTTAGGTGTTAAAGGCTCCGTGGGACTGCACACCAATGTCTCATGCCCGGCCTCCTAGTTATTCAGGAATATGAGATCTAAGGATCTTGGTTCAAAACCAGGAAAGTCCATGAGACTCTTATTTCCAAATAACTACCAAAAAGCCAGAAAAGGAGCTGTGGCTCACAGCAGTAGAGTGGTAGCCTTGAGCACAAAAGTTCAGGGACAGCGCCCAGACCCTCCCTCAGGACCCCTCCCTCCCCCCACTAAAGGCTCTGTAGGAATGAAGAAATTCTAGTACCATTGCATGCATGATTATGAATCAGGACAGGAGTAGATGAAGACAATATAGAGTTAGAAAGAATTGTGTACTTATTTTCCTACAAAGAAAAGCATTCCAACAACTGGCTCTATAGCCTGGGGATTGTTTTGGGCCTCAAGGTCAGGATTCAGATGACATCTTAGGCCATTCCAAATGGTATTGATTTTTAAAAGTATGGGGACAAAAGTCCAGGGGCTCACCTAGACTTCAAGTTGTAAGCAGGAAAGGAGCGGTTGAAGCTCAGCCTGGGGCCTGAGCTAGAGAAACAGGAGAAAGGAATGAGAGAGATGGCTAAGTGCCCTGATAATGGCAAAAGCCAGTTAACCCTTGGAACTTCCATTCCCCTACCTGTAAAATGGAGCTCACGCTGCTTTTGCTTAAATGAACCAATTTATGGAATCATTCCCAAAGTAGAAACTTTCCTCTAATAGTTACCACTTTTATGTTGCTGTTTTTACTTTTTTGATCCAATACTTGCACTTGTAGGAATTTAACCTTAAGCTATACCCCCTCCAATAAAAAATAGTGTGTGTGTATGTGTGTGTGTGTGTGTGTGTGTGTATTTTTCTTGAGACAGGTACTACATTATTCAGAATGGTCTCAAATTTCTGACTCAAATAATCCTTCCTCAGCCTCCTGAGTAGCTGGGACTACAAGCTTGAGACATCATGATGGGTTCCATTAGTTTTTGATTCTTGTATTATATATTAACACAATTTGATAGCTTATAAAAGCAACTATTAGCTCACACTTCTGTAGCTCAGAAGTCTAGTGTGGTATGGCTCAATTCCCTGCTTAGAACACTACAAAACTGAAATGAAGGTGTTAGACTGAGCTTTCATCTAGAACGCTAGGATAATCTAGTTGCTTCTGCTAAAAGGGTGAAAATTTTTTCTTTTCTGGCTTTCACCATCTTTAGGCCTTGTGTGTTCATTCTTTGCCATGGGACTCCTTCAACATTAAGCCAGCTACAATGCTTAAAATCCTTGTGATTTGAATCTCTGCCCACCTTTTCTGTGATTAGCTATAGAAAACACTTGGCTCTTGACAGGTGCTTATGTAATGAGTTTGGATCTGCTTTGTTCCCACAGGTTCAGTGTTGGAACCTTGTTCTCTGGTGTAGTGGTGAGGTGAGGGAATAGTGGCTAATGAAGGATAATTAGATCATGGGAAAGGGGTCTCCATCCTCATGGAGAGTTTAATGCCGTCTCTTAGGTATAGTCAGGTCTCATGAGGCTGGATTAGTTCCTGGGAGAATCGATTGTTAGAAAGTGAGTTTGCCGTTTCTCTGCTGGCTCTAGTTTATTTCCTCTCTTGCCATGTGGGCTTCTTTATAGGGAACTGAGAATCTTATCCACCAAGTGTGGTATCATCTATCAAGCTGTAGCTTGTTGCTCTTTATTACATGACATGCTACTTGGACTTTCTAGCTACAAGAATCCTGAATAAAATGGGCTGGGAAGGTGGCTCAGTGGTAGAGTGCTTGCCTTGCATGCCTGAGGTCCTGGGTTCGATTCCTTAGCACCACATAAGCAAAAAGGAAAAAGCCGGAAGTGGCGCTGTGGCTCAAGTGGTAGAGCACTAGCCTTGAGCTGAAGAGCTGAGGGATAGCGCCCAGGCCCAGAGTTCAGACCCCACGACTGGAACCCCCACCCCCCAAAAAAAGAATCCTGAATAAAATTTTTTAAAAAAGTCTTTTTTAAAAAAATATACATTACCTAGCATCAGGCAACACAAAATGGCCTAAGGACTTAGATGGCCCCACTAGCTAATTTCTCTATCATAGGATCGGTTTGTTTGGAATCTTAATTACATATGCAAAATCCTTTCACAGCAGTAGCTAGATTACTGTTTGAATTTCCGGGAGAAGGTATGTGAATAATATGTGCCAAGAATCTTGGGTCCATCTTGGAATTCTGCCTGTCACCCCACAGGAAGATGACTGGATGATTTAGGTTCTGTCAGTCCCCTGAAGAACCATGCTGCAGTCATTAAGCAGCAAGGCAGCCTCTATGAACTCTGGGGTTTCACATTGCTAAGTGGAGAAAACAAGATGGGATAATGTGTGTTATTTTTCATGTAAAGAAAGGGGAAGTAAAAGCTGTTACTGGTGGCTCATGCCTACAATCCTAGTTATTCACAAAGCTGAGATCTGAGATCTCAGTTGTAGCCAGCCTTGGCAGGAACATCTGTGGAATTCTTATCTCCAATTAACTACCCCCAAAAAGCCAAAAGTAGAGCTGTTTCTCAACTGGCAGAGCACTAGCCTTGAGCACTAAAACTCAGCAACAGCACTCAGGCCCTGAGTTCAAGCCCAGGACTTGCATAAAGAAAAAAAAAGGAAATGTACTATGATATATCTACTATGGTATGCAGTCTCTAATGTGGCAACCAAGGATTCTTGCCTCTTGGTATTCATGCAGTCTTTTGCACTTGAATGTAGAGATGGGGAATCATTATGTAGCTCAGGCTGGCTTTGAACTTCTACCTCCTCCTGAATTATAAGGCATGTACTATCATACTTGATCTCAGTAACCATCACAAAACAAAAACATAGACACAGTAAAGAAGATGGCTACTGATTGATTACTGATGGTCTTTGATAGGAACCAGAGAAACAGTTTCAGGAATAAGAATAGAGTGAGACTTCTCCAAATATAACTCTAATAAGATCTGATTTTGTATTATGTAGACACTTTAGGGTAAGCAGGAGAAAATGAAGGATGAGGTAACAGTATTTAAAAACAAATGTACTCAGTACTTTACTTATGTAACTGCAATCACCATGCTCATCACCTTTTCAATAAAAATAAAAGAAAAAAAAACCCCAAAAACATTTTATATACTCTAAAAATAAAAACCATAAAAAGGTGAAAAATAACTAAGCGCTGGTGGCTCACATCTGTAATCCAAGCTACTTAGGAGGCTGAGACTTGAGGATCAGGATTTAAAGTCAACCTGGGAAGGAAAGTCAATGAGAATCTTATCTCCAATTAACCACCAAAAATGAAGAGGAGCTGTGGCTCAAAGTGGTAGAGCATGATCCTTGAGCATAAGAGCTTAGGGACAGTGCCCAGGGGCTGAGTTCAAACTCTACAACCAGGAAAAAAAGATGAACAATAACTCTAAAATTGTTGTGAACGAAAATAGCAACACTGTAACAAATTGATATCATTACCTTGAATTAATGTGCTTTTTAATTGATACTAAAAAGCAACTTTGGAACACAGCACACTAACTGCACACCATTTAAAAGGATATTATAAAGACATAAAGAAAGGTAAAGAAATCTTGAACATGTAAGTTTGTTTCTGGTGGCATTACTGGTGTGTTAGTTACACTGTTTTGTGTAAATTGCAGGACAGAAAAAAAAAAAGAGTAAATGTATATAGATGCTGGTCAGGACCAGGATTTTCACTACAGGAGATGGAGGATGCAGATGTGAAAAGGGAAGGTTTAAATGGCATTGGATTAAGTAAAAACTATTCATTTTTTGTGTAGATAAATATGAAAGGAAAAGAACAATGTAAAAAGACTTAAGGGATTTTTATAATATAAAATGATAAAGGTAAAATATGCAAGGAAGATGTGGGGAGAACAAGAAGGTTTTGTGCCAGAAAACTCAGATTGATAAGACATTTAAAAGGACACCAAAATCAGGTGAGAGAGTTTCCACTGGCCAATGTGGATAATCTGACCACAGAAGTAGGAATGGAATTTGATTGTGCTAATTGCAATTAAAGTGGATTCAGGAATCTACACCATGATGCAGAATCAAAGAGAGGAGGAAGAAGGGCAAGTGGAGGAGGGAAGGAGAATGAAAATGAGAAAAAAAATGGAACAGGTATTCTTTTTTTTTAGACAGGAAAGACAGTTAAAGAGGAAAAAATAATGAATTGCAAATTCATCGTACTATAATGTTATAGAAAGTTCATCAGTGTATGCTATTCCACTGACTGAAAGTACTGATCTCCATCGCAGAAGGCAGTTTTGCGGGACAGAAAGGAGCCAGAAGTACCCGGATCTGGTGGGGGTACTGACGTCACTGACGGTCTGGGCCCCCGGAAGTAAAGCGAAGTAACGGAAAAACACGGCTTTCCAAACTTTCCAAAGTTTAATTAAAACTTATTAACTTGAATCTAATTACGAGGGGACAATTCCAGAAAGCGATGCGATCTGCAAGACGTCTGGCCTGCACTTCAAACACGACGAAAGTGGAAGTCACTTTATAAAGCCATCATGCATCAGGCTAATCCTTCGTCGATCCGGCATCGAATATAGGTGTGAATGTACGTGACATTTTGCAATAGCAAAGGAAATACACATGTGAATATTGTATCAGACATGATTGAAAATATATTCAATTTCTGGCACGTGGCATGACAATCTACCAACCTAGCATTATACTGTATTATTCATCTGGTTCAGGGAGACAATACAGTGATAAAGGAAGGCAAACGTTGCGGAATGATTGCTTTCGGTGGCTGGATAAACCGGATGCTCTTCACAGTACGTTTCCTTCAGTTTTTCAGTTGATTAACACATTTTTAAACCAAATAACTGGGGTATAAAAAAATATGAACGAATTTACTTCCTTTGGGTGGTGGAGGCTCACGTGGACAGAGAACCACCCACTTCAGAAGGCTCCTTTCCCGAGGTCTCCCCACGTTTCCTCCAAGTGGTGGAATAGCAGGTGCCTCTCAGCCAAGAGTGGTTTCCGGGTTCCCCAGCCTGGCCCCACCCCTCCGCGGACCACTCGCTGCAGGCGTGTATGTGAGGCGGGGCTGATGCTGACGATGACCAATGGGAGCCGAGACGGGCGTGGTCTCTCGCGTGGGCGTGGCCGGGGCGGGGCTACGCGCAGGCTCCCAGGCCAGCTCCTCGGCTTCCCAACCTTTTTTCGTTTCCCGCATCAGTCCCCATTCCGGCCGTGGCTGATCCTGAGTGGAAAGCGGTGGAAGGCAGCCGTCGCGGGGTAAGTTCCTGGCTGGCGCTTCCTTCCGCTCGCTCCCTTTCACGACGGTGCCTGGCGGGGTGGGGTGTGATTGGGACCTGGATCTCCGGGGAAGCGTGTTCGGGGCTGCCGGTGCCCTCGGTTGGCTCCGTGCGGTGCAGCGCGAGGTTCCCGGGGCTGGGTTCTTCTCTCCCGGTTGCTGCTGCCTTGGGTCGGGCCGGTTCTGCGGGAGCTGCTGTTGATGGTTGCGGGGTAGCTCCTCTCATGCCGACGTGGAGCCGGTTCTGGCTGCGCGGTGTTTGCACCCCGGCTGCAGCCGTTAGTCCCTCCTCCGGGGATGTCCGCCCACTCGTGGGCTCGTGCACCGCGCAGTCCCCGCACCCGGGGCAGCCGCAGCACCGCGAGCGTCCTGCGCCGGGGAGGACGGGAATTGCTCGCGGAGCAAGCCAGGTTGGCTCCTCTTTGCCAGAATCGTCTGAATGAATTTGCTCGGCAGGTTAGTGTAGCCCTGGATGTTAAGGTCTTTGTGCGTAATGTCTTCCCAAATAAGCTGCCGCATTGCTTCTGCGCGAGAACGGCACAGCGGAGTCGGAACTGCCCTGCAGATGATGCACGCCTCCAGCCTGGGCAGGGCAGCGCGCTAGCCTTGTAAATGGCCTTGGCGTAGCTGTTGCTGCTGCCAACTCTTGGGCTCCCAGTTCGTTCACGTGAAGTGAGACAGAATTTTCTAAGATTTCTTTTCTTTTTAAATACCAGTAAGGGGCTTGAACTGAGGGAGGGCCTGTGCGCCCTCTCTTAGCTGTTTTGTTAAAGGCTGACACTCCATCCACTTGAACCACAGCTCTGCTTTCGGCTTTGTGCTGGCTAATTGGGAGATAAGAATCTCACAGGAGCCCTCTGCCGGTGGCTCACGCCTGTAATCCAAGCTACTCAGGAGGCTGAGATCTAAGGATCGCAGTTCAAAGCCAGCCCAGGCACGAAAGACCGGGAGACTTATCTCCAATAAACCACTGGAAGTGGCGCTGTGGCTCAAGTGGTAGAGCGCTCGCCTTGAGCTGAAGAGCTGAGGGACAGCGCCCAGGCCCAGAGTTCAAGCCTCACAACCGACCAAAAAAAAAAAAAATCTCACAGGGTTTTTTTTTTGTTGTTGTTGTTTTGTTTTGTTTTTCTGCTCAGGCTGGTTTTGAACCAGGATCTCAGTTTCTTATGTAGTTAGGATTACAGGAGTGAGCCACCAGCACCCAGCTAAAATTTCTTTCAAACCTTACGTTTTGTAAGACCGTGCTGATTTTTTCAACCTTTGTTTTGCACTTTAAAAAAAGAATAGGAAATAGGAAATGAAAGTGCAATAAGATGAATGAGAGCACAGGGAGACAGGTTAGCGTTTATAACTCCTGAAAAGAGAACACCAAGGAAAACTGAAAGAATTTCTGGAGAGTTATGTAAGAGAAACTTGGAAAGCTTTCAGAAGTTCCAGCAGCTAGTACTGTACTCAATTAATTACCTCTCCTTATAGCTGTACACCAAAGGCCAGATAATAATAATATTACATAACCATAGGAGACAATATGTCATAGAGACGATGAGTAACTGGACCATTTTTTTTTTTTTTTTGGTCACAGTCCTAAGGTTTGAACTCAGGGCCTAGGCATTGTCCCTGACCATTTGTGCTCCAGGCTAGCACTCTTCTTCTTGAGCCATAGCTGCAATTCTGGCTGTTTGTTGGTTAATTGTAGATAAGAATCTCAGGGACTTGCCTGCCGGAGCCTGGCTTGGAACTGGAACAGCTGTCCTCAGATCTCAGCATCTTAAGTAGCTAGGTTTACGGACTTGAGTATGTGTGTATGAGTATTGAGTATGGTACTCATGCTCTTGCTCAGCTTTTTCTTCTTAATGCTGGAGCTTGAGCCACATTTTAACTTTACTCTGGGCATGGGCGCTGTCCCTCAGCTCTTCAGCTCAAGGCTAAGTGCTCTACCACTTGAGCCATAGTGCCACTTCTGGCTTTTTTCTTTTTGCTTATGTGGTACTGAGGAATCGAACCCAGGGCCTCAGGCATGCAAGGCAAGTGCTCTACCCCTGATCCACCTTCCCAGCCCCATTAACTTTTTTTTTCCTGGATAATTGGGGATAACTGATTAACTGGAGATGCTGGTTAAATGACTGTCTTTGATCTTGGATCCTCAGATCTCTGTCTCCTGAGTAGCTAGGGTTATAGTTGTGAGCCACTAGCACCCAGCTTAACCATACATCTTGAGTGTGAGGAGAATCTTTGAAACTCTTAATTTGTATAGGTATTTCTGTTCATAAGGAACTTAAAGATAAGTTCTTTAAGTTCTGCATCACTCCAGAAAAATTCCACGTTTATCCTCCCATGTGTTTTTGTGGTGCTGGGAATTGAACCCGGGCTTCCTCTATACTAGACAATTGCCCTTCCTCTGAGCTATACTCCCAAACCTCAATATTTTTTTTGTGTGTGAATGCCATTATTAGGGCTTGAACTCAGGGACTGGGCTCTATTCCATTAGTTTTTTCATTCAGTGGTGAGCCACAGCTCTACTTTTGGCCTTTTTGGTGGTTAATTGGAGATAAGAGTCTTAGACTTTATACTCTGGGCTGACTTCGAACTGTGATCCTCAGATTTTTAACTCCTGAGTAGGTAGCTAGGCTATCCTCAGATTTTTTTTTTAGCCAGCCTTTGGAAGACAGTATTTGACTACAAAGTAGTGCATAGAGAAAATACTTGGATACACTTCAGAGAAGCATTGATTTGAATGCCCTGTAGCACTAAGGAAGGGCACTTTACTTCTTCTCAGAGACTTGTTGCTTCTGTTGGGAAGTGTGGATAGATAATGACATAGGGTTGTGAGGATTAAATCAAGTCCTTTGTGTGGAAAATGTATAACAATGTCTGACATCAAGTATTTAGTAATAATCACTGGTACTAGAATTGTGTTCTTGCTGATGGCTGGTGGCTCATACCTGTAATTCTAGCTACTCAGGAGGCTGAGACCTGGAAGAACACCATTTGAAGCCACTTACTTCTGGCAGAAAAGTCCAAGAGACTCCATTTCTAATTAACTGGCAAAAGGCTGAGCTGAAAATGTTTCTCAAGTGGTAGAGTGCCATCCATGAGTAAGAAGGCCAAGCATGTGCAAAGCCCTGAATTTAAGCTGTAGTACTACCAACACACACACACCACCACCAACTACAACAACATCAATAACAACAAACTACCTAAAATTGTGTTTAAAATAAAGCAAAGAGGGCTGGGAAGGTGGCTCAGCAGTAGAGCGCTTGCCTTGCATGCCTGAGGCTCTGGGCTCAATTCCTCAGCACCACATAAGCAAAAAGAAAAAAGCCGGAAGTGGCGCTGTGGCTCAAGTGGTAGAGCGCTAACCTTGAGCTGAAGAGCTGAGGGACAGCGCCCAGGCCCAGAGTTCAGACCCCATGACCAGACCCAAAAAAATAAAATAAAATAAAATAAAAATAAAGCAAAGAAAAGCAAATCAGATGTAGTCTGACTTAGAGTGTGATCAAAACAGGAAGCCAGTGGGAAGTAGATATCTTTTTCTGACCCTAGATTTCTGTTCACTTTTCTTTTTCTTTTTCTTTTTATTGTGAACATACTGTACAGAGGGGTTACAATTACATGGGCAAGATAATGAGTACATTTCTTATCAAGCATTGCAGCCTCCTCCTTTGTTTCCCCTTCACATCCCTTCCCAGCCTCCCCCCCCACCTAATCCTCCCCCCATCCCCCCCCCACCTAATCCCCCCCCTACCTAATCCCCCCCCCACCAAAGTTGTAAAGTTCGATTTCGACATGACAACTTGTACTTCTCATTGTTGCAAAGGGTCCACCTTAAACGACTTGTTTTTCCCCATCTCCTCCACAAATTATACCGACATCAAATATAGTGAAAGCAGGGGTTATACTGTGGGGGAGGGACATACAAAGCAACAATGACCCTAGATTTCTGTCAGTTGTAATCCCTTCCCTCATCTCGTGCTGAGATGCTGCCCAAACACTGTTGGTTGCAAAGAACATAGTCTCTGACTATTATTCTTAGTATTTCAGTAGAAAAATTTCCAAAACTTAGAAGTTAAGGAATGTGTGGGAGGAAATCTCTGAGAGTTGGCTTACTGACCAGAAATTGCAGCCCCAAAGGATAGAAGCTGTCCTTTGCCAGTATAGTTTAGCAAACACCAACTCACCTATTTTAGCCTTTGTTAGAACCTCTTTACCTTTGCAGTTTGTCCACCACCCTAGGCTTTCTGGTTCTTAGTGTAAGCCTTTTTTTTTCTTTTTCTCAACAAACATTAACTGAGGAAGACCCAGTAGTCTTAGTACTCAAGGATCTAATCTTAGCTTTTGGAAAGGAAAGAGATGAATCAGGAATAAGTTTTAAACCTCCTAGATTTTCTTTTTTTTGCAGTACTAGTATTTAAACTCACAGCCTGATGCTTGATAGGCTGGTGAAATTCCACTTGAGCCATGCCTCCAGCCAAACTTTTTTTTTGAGATGACATCTAGTGAACCTCATTCCTTCAGCCTCCCAAGTAGCTAATGTGAGCCACCAGCACCCAGCTACTAGCTAACTTTTTAAAGTTGTTATTATCTTCAAGTAGTTGTACAAAGAGATGTCAGCTCATTATGTCAGTTTATGAGTGAGTGTAATACATCTTGATTGATGCCACCTAGCTAACTTTTAAACACTGAATTGAGTAGAATAGATTTTATTTGGCGTGTGTGTGTGTGTGTGTGTGTGTGTGTGTGTGTGTGTGTGTGTGTGTGTGTGTTATTGTATGTGTGGTACTGAGGATTTAATTTAGGGTGAGGCAAATGAGCAGTTTACACAGATATACCAGTAGATACTCATTTGTAGATGTTTTATTCTTGCAGTATATCTGAAAGCTAATGAATAAAACCACGAGAAGGCAATTGAACAGTTGCTCCAGTTGAGTGTACGTATACTTACTCAAAATTTGATAACAAGACTTATGGTGGAAGAGGTAGC